GTATCTAGGAGAGCTGAGTTCTGGATGTAAAAGACTTTGGTTTGCATTAAGCTATGAAGTTGATTATTATCAAAAACACATCAGACACAATCTGTCATGTCTACATACCCACTCGAAGACCCTCGTGATAGATCCGGAATGTCGAAGTCCTCGGATTTCCAGGCACCGAGGTCCGTAGAAGAAACTGCGGCGCTACTAGACCGGTCTTAGAGTTGTCTCCAGGTCACAACAGATGGATGGAACCGCACGTCTGGCGGATTCTTAAGTAGCCTAAACAATATCAGCTTGTTCTGCAGGAACTGTTGCAGTATCAGCTGCGCAGGTGAAAAAAGGTTTTGACGACGTGTCACAAGCTTTGAATGGTTAGAGAGGTTTTGCTTCAGATGGCCAGTCTGAAGCTTTCTCTAGAACTGCTGAATCACCAGAGTGATCTGGTTTTAATGTTCTCATGTTATGATTTGTGTAGCCAACCAGAGGTTGACAAGTTTGAGGAATATTACCAAGAGTCTCAGAAACACGCCTTCTTTGATACAGAGGCTCTGATCTAGGGTAAAGGGCTATCTATGTATCATGAGTTTAACTTAACCTTACTTTGTCCTTGTGTGAGTGCAAATGGTTATGACCTTGTCATATCAACATGCTGAAACATATTTCAATCACTGTAATCAAAACATAACATTAATTTCAAACTTCAATCATTGAGCACAGATTAATGAAACATTCATCCATCCATCCATCCATCCATCCATTTTCATCCGCTTAACCGGAGTTGGGTCGCAGGGGCAGTAGCCTAAGGCGAGAGGCCCAGACTTCCCTCTCCTGAGCCACTTGGGCCAGCTCCTCCGGGGGAATCCCAAGGCGTTCCCTGGCCAGGTGAGAGACATAGTCCCTCCACCGTGTCCTGGGTCTACCTTTCGGTCTCCTCCTGGTTAGACATGTCCGGAAAACCTCACCAGGGAGGCATCCTGACCAAATGCCCGAGCCACCTCAACTGGCTCCTCTTGATGTGGAGGAGCAGCGGGTCTACTCCGAGCCCCTCCCGAATGGCCGAGCTTCTCACCCTATCTCTAAGGGAGAGCCCAGCCACTCTTCAGAGAAAACTCATTTCGGTGGCTTGTATCCGCGATCTCGCTCTTTCGGTCACTACCCAAAGCTCATGACCTTAGGTGAGGGTAGGAATGTAGATCGACCGGTAAATCGAGAGCTTCGCCTCCTGACTCAGCTCTCTCTTCACCACGACAGACCAGTACAATGCCCGGCATCACTGCAGATGCAGCACCAATCCGCCGATCGATCTCATGCTCCAGTTTTCCCTCACTCGTGAACAAGACCCCGAGATACTTAAACTCCTCCACTTGGGACAGGACCTCATCCCTGACCCGGAGAAGGCGTTCTACCCTTTTCCTTATCAAGACCATGGTCTCAGATTTAGAGGAGCTGATTTTCATCCCAGCTGCGAACCGCTCCAGCAAAAGCTGAAGATCACGTTCTGATGAAGCCAACAGGACCACATCATCTGCAAAATCAGGGACCTGATCCTCAGGCCACCAAAACGGATGTCCTCCACACCTTGGCTGCACCTAGAAATCCTGTCCATAAAGGTTATGAACAGAATCGGTGACAAAGGGCAACCTTGGTGGAGTCCAACTCTCACTGGGAATGAGCCCGACTTACTGCCGGCAATGCGGACCAAGCTCTGACACCGGTCATACAGGGACCTAACAGCCCATATCAGAGGGCCTGGCACCCCATACTCCCGGAGTACCCCCACAGGGCCCCACAGGGCCCCCCGAGGGACGCGGTCAAATGCCTTCTCCAAATCCACAAAACACATGTAGACTGGTTGGGCAAATTCCCACGCACCCTCCAGGATCCCCCTAAGGGTATAGAGCTGGTCCAGTGTTCCACGGCCAGGACAAAAACCACATTGCTCCTCCTGAATCTGAGGTTCAACAATCCGACGAACCCTCCTCTCCAGAACCCCTGAATAGACCTTACCAGGAAGGCTCAGGAGTGTGATCCCCCTATAGTTGGAACACACCCTGCTGTCCCCCTTTTTAAAATAAGGGGACCATCACCCCAGTCTGCCAGTCCAGTGGGACTGCCCCCGATGTCCAAGCTATATTGCAGAGCCGTGTCAGCCAACACAGCCCCACAACATCCAGAGCCTTAAGGAACTCCGGGTTGATCTCATCCACACCTGGAGCCTTGCCACAGAGGAGCTTTTTAACCACCTTGGTGACCTCAGGACCAGAGATTTGAGAGGCCAACCCAAAGTCCCCAGACTCTGCTTCCTCACTGGAAGACGTGTCGGTGGGATTGAGAAGGTCTTCGAATTATTCTGCCCACCGATCCACAACATTCTGAGTGGAGGTCAGCAGCACACCGTCCCCACATTTCATTATATTATATTTATTATAAGTAGCAATAAACAAACATTTATTTAATGATTATCTAACTTGTAGGTTTAAAAGTTCATATTTAATTTAAGAAACCATTCTTTGATTTAGCAACTAATCCGAGCTGCGAGTGTTCCTTATTCAGAGACATGAAGAATCCTGTAGGATGATAAGGGAAGCTTGGGCCTTGAGGAGAGAACATCACTGCTGACAATACGTTATCTGTGTTCAGAGCTGCAGAGAGGCTCTGAGCTCCAGCTGAGTCTGAGCTTCATCTGCAGCAGGCTAAATTTCTACTAGTTAATAAATCACTCAATGGCATGTCTGATCTCCTTCCTGTGCACACACACACACAGACACACTATATATATATATATATATATATATATATATATATATATATATATGTGTGTGTGTGTGTGTGTGTGTGTGTGTGTGTGTGTGTGTGTGTGTGTAGTCTGAGATCCATGGGAAGCATTCACAGAACTCCGGGTCAGAACCAAACAGGGTGAAGCTGCTTTGAGCTACCATGATACTCTCAGATGGAATCAGCTTCCCTATGACCTCAAATGTGCCCCAACTCTAGTAACTTTTAAATCAAAATGAAAAACATTAATGTATTCATTAGCCTTTGAATGTTTTTTACTGCACCTTCTGCACTGTAACTGCTCAGTCTTTAACTTTGTCTTTTTCTTTCTAATTTTTAAATATAAATTTATTGTGTGTGTATTTTATTGTGCTGTCATGTTGATTTTAATGTTCTTGTTATTCTTGCTAATTGGAAAACACATTGATTTGCCTCTGTGTATGAAATGTGTTATATTAATAAAGCTGCCTTGCCTAATCTTCTGTTGTTTTTGAGCACTTCCTTGCCAGTTTGGTAATTGTGCAGAGTGAGATAATACCATTAGCACAGCTCTATGTAGCAAAATTTAATTCATTATGTACAAAGGATTTTCTTGGGTAAACTTACATGACATATTTGTATTTTATTTATAAAACTCACCTTATAATAACAGTTTAGCTTTAGTGTGTAAGAGCACTGACTTTCTGAAATAAATTCTCCCCTGTGGTCTTTTTATGGTGCAATTTAACCAAGATCATTTTCATTATTCTTCATTATTTTTGCAGTTAAACAGTAAAAGTGATTGGGATCACAGATTATCCCCTGCAGGCTTAGGAAAGGAACACTTTCTGTGCACCTCAGAAAGACAAATAGCTCCAGTGTGAAATAATTTAGTTCATGTCATGTCCTGCCTAAAGGGGATTACACTTACACACCAAAGGTACGAGACTAAAATGCAGAGTGACAAAGTGTGAAGTCTGGATCTGATTAAGAGAGAAGCTTCTCTCTCTCTCATGCACGCACACACACACACACACACACAAAATAAAGATGGAGATGGATGGAGGTCGAGAGCTAACAGTCTGTGGGAACATGCTGCTGAATAATTACCACTGACATCAGAATAGTTTTCTTTAGCTCTCTGAAGTGGCAGAGCTCATTTGTACAGCCTGAAGCACAGCACAAGTGAGTGCTTGTGAGTGAGTACAAGAGAGAAAGTAACAGGAAGTGAGATGAACAGAGTGGAATGACAAAAACACCTTTATATTGAGAATTGTTACTTATCCTAAAACAGACACAAACACAGATCTCCCACTGTATGTCCGTGTTTGTACATAAGGAAAGGATTATACTGATTTAGTCTTTGCCGAGTCAACCTGTGACATTATGACAGCTCAGGCCCACCAGGGAGCCGTTTCTCTCTCGGTGGACCTTAAAAAACAGGAAACGACTTCCCACTGGAGCACAGGAGAGGATAAGCCCTACTGACGCTGTACAAAACTTCACACACCAACTCACGCAAGGTAAGTGCCGGAATGTTGCGTGCACAGGTCCAGAACACACACACAGTCACACCTGAGCCCTCTTGAATAGGCACTATTCAACACCCTGACAACAGGGGACAATAGAGGCAAAAACGCCAGTCTTCTTAGAAAGAATGGACCTGTCTGAACACATCGGGCTTCCTCGCCACCCGCTTCATTGCAAGAGCGTCTCCGAGCTGCAGTGACTTCAGGTGATCTCATGTTTCTATACAGATGCACTTCTCTTTGTCTTCACTTGCAGCTGTTTTGTAACAGATTTAAGGGTGAAAAAAGAAAAGTCACATTACTAAAGTTACATCCGGCTTGGCAGAATGTGGAAGCTACAGCGGAGGGCAGTACACTGCATTATTTCAAACAGGACTTGGTGATGTTATTGCAAAATCTGTCTGTTGGCCTTTACGTGTTTAGGCTAGTCAACAGAGGTAATCTTTTGTGCACAACCAAATCCCAGTTTATCTTTGTAAATTGAACAGGTGCTGGCTGCTGCTTGGTGAGAGTCACACAAAAGCCTGAGGTTAAAAGCTAGTAAGGCTTAAAACCTGTAGGGGTTTCTGCTGGATTACAGGCCTTAGTACTAATAAATCACAAACACTAATATCAGTGTAAGTGGGTTCAATCACAATATATGTAGCAAGGTAGCAAACTGAGCCAGAAACAGACAACTTATAAGCCATTTATAATCATTAATCTGATCAATAAGCCTTATAAACATATTCTTTTAATGCTTTATTTGATTTTTTGTTTGGAAAAGGTTAGTTGACTTTATTTTTTAACATAAAACACACAAGAATACATGTTGGAATTAAGTAAGTTACATTTAACTAAACATGTTTGTTACTGATGTCTAAAACCAATGTATAATCTGTATAGACTGGTGAGTCAGTTTAGTAAGTGGGAATCATAAATAAGTCTACAGAGAAGGCAGCAGCGACTGTGTAACTGTGGTGGTTTAAGGAGGAGGGAAGACCATAGATGGCATGGAGTGTCTGAAGGTGGAAGGAGGCTTGAAGATGGGAGACCTCCACACAGAACTCTGGGTGTTTGACAACTCCGAGGTCAAAGGTGTTCCTTGGAAACGACTAGAAGGAAACAGAAAGACTGTTTAACTATATTCTTCAGGCCAACCAAAGCAAACTCATTCTGTATGCAAGCTTGTTACGGGTGATATAAGGTTCCTCCTTTTGTCTGAAGTTTGACAATGAGAACAAGAAAACAGCAACATAAATTGGATTCATTACATCTGCTGAAGCTAAATCAATAAAAAAGCATTTCTTATCTTAAAACTACACACACACCATGACTCTTGAACTTTCAAACAAAAATGTATTAAAGGTGTGGTTTATTCATCTAATCAATACATTTGCAGTGATCTCTAGTAGGAATGAATGCCTTGTAAGTCTTTCTCGGGGGGAAAATATACCGGTGCACCATTTTCAGGAACTGGCAGTGACCCACATCACAGCTGAGCTTCAGAAAACAAGATCTGGAGTCTTATCCCCTGAGAGTTGGACATCTCACCTCAGATTGGACAGCAACATGACTGACTTGCAATGTTGATGTTTTATCTCCATGAATAACACAATCCTGGAGGAACTTCTGCTGTGTGGTGAAGTTACTTTACTTATTTATTTTTTTACTTTTTTTTTCTTTGAGTTTGACATTGCCCCTCCCTGGGCTGCCACCTTACCGTGGTGGAGGGGTTTGAGTGTCTCAATGATCCTAGGAGCTAAGTTGTCTGAGGATTTCTGTCTCTTGTAGGGTCCCCCAGGGCAAACAGGTCCTAGGTGAGGGATCAGACAAAAAGCAGCCCGAAGACCTCTTATGATGAATTATATAAATGGAAAACGTGTTCCCTCGCCCAGATGTGGGTCACCGGGGCCCCCCTCTGGAGCCAGGCCTGGAGGTGGGGCACGTTGGCGAGCGTCTGGTGGCCGGGCTTTCACCCATGGAGCCCGGCCAGGCACAGCCCGAAGAGGAAATGTGGGTCCCCCTTCCCATGGGCTCACCACTAGTGGAAGGGGCCAAAGGGGTCAGGTGCAGTGTGTGACGAGTGGTAGTCGAAGGCGGGGACCTTGGCGGTCTGATCCTCGGCAACAGAAGCTGGCTCTTGGCACATGGAATGTCACATCTCTGGTGGGGAAGGAGCCTGAGTTGGTGTGTGAGGTTGAGAGGTTCCGACTAGATATAGTCGGACTCACCTCAACACATGGCTCTGGCTCTGGAACCAGTTTCCTTGAGAGGGGTTGGACTTTCTACCACTCTGGAGGTGATCCCACTGAGAGGCGCTGAGCAGGGGTGGGCATACTAGTTGCCCCCATCTTGGTGCCTGTATGTTGGGGTTTACCCCAGTGAATGAGAGGGTAGCCTCCCTCCGCCTACGTATGGGGGGACGGGTTTTGACTGTGGTCTGTGCTTGTGCACCAAACTACAGTTCAGACTACCCACCCTTTTTGGAGACCTTGGAGGGGGTGCTGGAAAGTGCTTCTTCTGGTGACTCCCTCGTTCTGCTGGGGGACTTTAATGCTAACGTGGGCAGTGACAGTGAGACCTGGAGAGGTGTGTTTGGGAGGAACGGCCCCGTAATCTGAATTCGAGTGGTGTTTTGTTATTGGACTTCTGTATTAGTCATGGATTGTCCATAATGAACATCATGTTCAGACAAAAAGGTGTCCATATGTGCTCGTGGCACCAGGATACCTTAGGCCGCTGCTCGATGATCGACTTTGTTGTTGTTTCATCTGACCTGCGGCTGCATGTCTTGGACACTCGGGTGAAGAGAGGGGCGGAGCTGTCAACTGACCACTACCTGGTGGTGAGTTGGCTCAGATGGTGGGGGAGGATGCCGGTCAGACCAGGCAGGCCCAAATGTATCGCGAGGGTCTGCTAGGAACATCTGGTAGAGTCTCCTGTCAGAAGGAGCTTCAATTCCCACCTCCGACAGAACTTACAAAATGTTCTGGGGGAGGCAGGGGACATTGAGTCTGAATGAACCCTGTTCTGTGCCTTTGTTGTTGAGGCGGCCGACCGGAGCTGTGGTCGCAGGATCGTCGGTGACTGTCACGGTGGCAACCCCCAAACCCACTGATGGACACCGGCGGTAGGGATGCTGTCAAGCTGAAGAAAGAGTCCTATCAGGTCTTTTTGGCCTGTGGGACTCCAGAGGCAGCTGACGGGTACTGGCAGGCCAAGCGGAACGCAGCTCGGGTGGTCGCCAAGGCAAAAACCCAGGCATGGGCGGAGGTTGGTGAGACCATGGAGCAAGACTTCCGTACGGCTTCGAGGAGATTCTGGTCCACCATCCGGCGCCTCAGGGGAGAATGCAGTGCGCTACCAACACTATCTATAGTGGGGACAGTGTGCTGCTGACCTCTACTCAGGATGTAGTGGATCGGTGGGCAGAATAATTCGAAGACCTCCTCAATCCCACCGACACGTCTTCCAGTGAGGAAGCAGAGTCTGGGGACTTTGGGTTGGCCTCTCAGATCTCTGGTGCTGAGGTCACTAATACACGCGATGCGCTCTTTCTATCCTGATGTCCAAGTCTGGGGGGAGCGTCAGAACTTTATTTAATAAATCTTTAGTAAAGTCTATCAAGTTTCCTCCTTCGTTCTCCTCTGGCACTTGGAAAATCCTCATATTGTTCCTCCTTAGTCTATTTTCGAGATCTTCACAAATGTTTGTCAACTCTGTCTCCTGGTGGAGCAGGTGGTTGAGCACCTTCTGATGCCGCGTCTCCCTTTCTTCCAACGACGCCACCCTCTCCTCCAAACCTGTTATTCCCTCCTCTTGTTGTCCGATTTGGCTCCTTATATCCACCACCGCCTGTTCCAATCAATCCAGGGAGGATTTTGTGAGGCTGTGTCCTTCTTTATTTTCATCCCGCATTTGTTTGATCTCCTCCAAAAGTTTGTTCTCGCTCATCATCATGCAGCTGGTGGCTTGGGTGCTGGCTTCTGAGGGATTGCCCACCTTTTGCTGTTTGTCCTCCATGTCTCTCATATCTGCTTGCTTGTTGAGAGCTTTTTGTCGTGTGGAGGCACTCATATCCTCAAACAGTTTATTCGCGGGGTGTAAATTCTTTAGATTTAAAATATCAAGGAGTTTCTCAATTCTTCTGACGGAGCACCGTGTTCACGCTGCTGCTCGTATCATGACGTTGTTATTTTCTCTTGAAAAAAAAACCATTTATGGCTGTGTTCATGCATTTTTCTGTTTCAGCTGCAAATTTTGAATTTGACTTTGAAAATCTTATAAAGAACCTATGTAAACTAATGTCGTCATCAGGCCCTGCTCCTTTCCGAGAAGCTAGTCTCTTATCTGAAACCTGTCTCCCCTGGCCAGCACAGCCAGTGGTAAGATTGCTGGGCTGGTATGTAGTTTTGCGTAGGTTCACATCCCGGTCTGAGCATTACAGTTTTTCTTCTTATTTAGCTACATTTTCAAATAGTATATTTTCAACTTGGTAACTTGTTTCAAAAGTAAGGACTAATCTGGTTAAAACTGGTTTTGTGTTTCATGTTTGTACATGTTGCTTATTTTAAACTTTTTTACTAAGTCAAACTGAACTGAGCTTACAAAAAGCAAAACCAAGAAAGTACAATATATGGTGTGATCTCTTACAGGTGTATTTAGTGCTACAGCTGCTACTCAGACACGTGCCCAGCATAAATCACCTGCATCATAATGCATTTAAGGAATTAACTTTCTCACCTGATGGTGGCTGACTGAGCAGAGTGGGTGGTAGACAGGTTCTGGCTTGATGATCTGTGAGAGGTGGTGTCTAAACATAACACCAGACAACATCCATATTTAATGCTTTACACAAAGCCAAACAAACGCTTACAATGGTTTTATGAATTACACAACACCTCTGTATCATTACATGGATATTTATAAATCATTACATATTACTCCATCACCGCGGAAGTGTTATTTGGATAATGCTCCAGGCAGACAAGATAAATGAGTGAATCATCTTTACACAATCATATGAGTCTGTTGCTACGAAACATGGAAAAAACAACTGGAGCATGTATGCACAGCTCTGTTGCTGTTAGCTCAGATGGATGGTACATACCACCAAGCAAAAAAATAAAATAAAAAATCATTCAGGTTCAACATTTTATAAGTAGCTCAAGATTTCCACTGGTGGTTCAATACTTGGATTTTAAATCATAAACCATCAACATGTTTGACCTGCAGAAATAGTTCCAATATAACTAATACCAAATATCTGAAAAGATAGAGCAGCTTAAAGAAAAGTGCCATTTAATAATTCTTGATGGTCAACTGTTGATTTTCAAGGGTTCAAGGGATTTATGAAGATTATCTGGTGCTTATAGTGTTTGGATGAACATGTGATTTATTACATTACACTTGTATCTTTACACTGATGTAAAGAAACTCCAAAACATTTATTTGATGATAGAGTACAGCTCCTACCCATCCTTCCCATGGGAGGCTTGATAATTGACAGTCTGCCTGCAGAGTTGGGCTGAAACACAAATAAAACAGAGAACTAGCCAACTGCACAACAAATCTTTCCTCCTTTATGGACCAGATACGTAAAGCAAATATCAGAATGCTTTAAAATCATAATGCATCTCTTTCAACACAACACAAGTGTGTGGCTGAAATAATGGCACCTACTTTCCTGAACAGACTCCTTTCATCCACCTCCATGCTCTCACTGCTGCCAGACAGGAAAGCACACTTCATTAGTTCTGTTGGGTTCTGCTGAATGAACACCACAGTGGTGCCTCAACAGCTTACTTTAAGGTATCAAACGTCTATGTGACAGCAGCGCTTATTTATTTATTTCAAAGTGAGGTCTTACTAGTATAATAAACTTCAAAGCTGCACCAAAGAAATGCTGCAGAAATGTTTATTTAAACCAGAAAGCGGCAGGTAAGTGATACGCGATGCAACGGGCTGAGGTCATTCACTAGAGATTCAAAAGGGGGTTTAAAAGTTGTGGCTGCACAGTGGCGCAGTGGTTAGAGATGCTGTCTTGCAGCAAGAAGGCCCTGAGTTTGAATGCCAGCGTGGGGTCTTTCTGCATGGAGTTTGCATGTTCTCCCAGTGCATGCGTGTGTTCTCTTTACACAGTCCACAGTCAAAAAACCTGACCATCAGGTTGATTGGTCTCTCTAAATTGTCCTTGTGTGTGTGTGTGTGTGTGTGTGTGTGTGTGTGTGTGTGTGTGTGTGTGTGTGTGTGTGTGTGTGTGTGTGTGTGTGTGTGCGTGCGTGGTTGTTTGTCCTGTGTTTCTTTGTGCTGTCCTGCGATGGACTGACAACCTCTCCAGGCTTTACCCCACCTGTTTGGCTGGAGATAGGATCCAGCCCCCCCACAACCCTGCATGTATAAGTGGGTATAGACAGAGGATGGATTGGTCTAAAAGATGCTAATTCATCTGAATAGCAGAGAAAAGTGTATTTTTTGTTTTTATAATCATTCCCATAAGATAAATGTTGATCATCAATTTATTTAATATGTTTTTCAATCAAAACATAAATATACCTAAGGTTTGAGATTATATTGCAAGGCTTGAGGGCTTTAAACAAAAAAATTTATATTTAAAGTCAAATTACTGAAATTCAGTGAAAACAAATGACATTTTCTTTTAAGTTTCATAGCTGTTTTCAGTAGCAGTAATCATTTATAACAAACAAGCTGACTCTGCAGGACATGGGCCTCACATCTGCTATCAATTATCTGCAGCTCACTGTTAGCATCCAAAGCTACGCTGGATAAAAAAAGAGAGAAAAACAATATTAGGACTAATGCATTTCAGCACCTAATCAGCCCTGCCACTGGTGGATAGGAAACTCAATAGGAATTCTTAACTAAACCAAAGCAAAGATATTACTGAGCTGTGGGAGGGCAGGGCAAAGCTATACACAGCTAAAGCTAACATAAGACACTGGGTTTGACCCCCAGATGTAACATTTAGCACAGTGAAATACTTTGTTTTGTTTTTCAAGTGGGCTGACATAAAACAACAAACAAACGAGAAAAATACATCAAAGCATGATTGGGTGGGCTGAAGGGGTTTTCATCTAAAGATTTACAGAAAGAAAATTACTTAGTTATAGAAATAAAGACCAAATACTCACATATTAGAGGCTGGTAAGTGTCGTGAGAGGGGAACCGGTGAGTCAAACGGGATCTGGACTAAATTTAAATAAATTATTAATACAGAAATATTCAGAGCTCAACAGAGGTATGCCAGTTATATAAATATTCAATGACAAAATGGACCAGAATCTAATGTATGCTGTAGGCTTTATGATACATGTCTTTTAGCTGAGTGGTAAAACATTAAAAGATGATTTTTATATAATAATTAGGAATCTAAATGATTATAGGGGACATATAATGTTTATTTTTTCTCAAGTTAAAATAGAATAATGTTCTATGGTGGATACAATGCATGTTTATTTAGTTCTTTGCACTAAATCCCTCTCACATAAAGCAATTTTAGCAGTTTTATTCTTGACAGTTTCCAAAATGAACCATTTCAGGACTCTGTCACTTTAAGAAAACAAGTTGGAGCTGGCCACGCCCACCCATCCCCACTCAGGCTGCTATAAGCTGAGAATCTCTGATAACTGGGAGGGGCTCAGAGTAGAGCTGCTGCTCCTCCAGCAGCACTCTCTCTTACATGTGAGAGGTGATTTTATGCTAATCTCCCCATTTGTGACAGCACAAACTGTGGGATTTTTGAAATGCATATTTCAGGTAAATAATTCATAAAACCTAACACTGACATAACATGGATGGGCCTGCTTTTTTCACGTTTAGGTTTTTTATAGAGGCAGTAGAGACCTACATGGCAGCACAAAAGGAAGCAAAGGTGAGTTTTGCAGAATAAGTCCCCTTCAAAGTTCCTTATGTGTGACTGATTACTTATGTGTGTGATCCAAACTGTAAATGATGAGACTAACCAGACATCTGGCCCTGTGGAGTGCGGGGATGGAGGCTGATCTTAGAAACAGATGATGACTTGGCACTGTGGGAGAGGGGTAATTCATGTTAAATGATCATAACACATCAGCGTTCACCATAGAAAATTGGTTCAATAACAAGAGATTCATAGAAGCAAGCAAGGTCAGTGAGACCTGAAAAGAAGGCAAAAGGTTAAAGATGCATGTAGCTCTGTAACCATGGCATGTAAAAGAACTTTTAAAACATTCTGACTTATTTAGGTCAATATGTATAGAGAAAAAGAATAAGAGTAAAAAAAAACTAAACTGCAATATTTGGTTAAAATGCTTTTTCATTCATACTTTTGTTTCAGATAACTTTCATTTAAATTGCATTAGATTAAAAAGTGCACTGTTAAAGTGCCCTGTGCTACTTTCAATCAGTTCTTATTGCACCAGTGTGTGTCGTGTGTCATGGGTGACACCTAGTGAGCTTCCTGTAAAGGCTTCTTTGAGAAAAGCAACAACATGAATACTTTAGTCCTCTCTGTGTGGATTGGAAAAACATCCAAAAGATTTTTCAAGATGGTTTAGTTTGTGAAACAGCTGACCATCTGAAGATTAGCTGCTGAAGCAATAACACGAGCTATGAGAATGTAATCGTCCAGACAGACCGTACCATTGTTGCTGGAGAGAGTCTTCCAGCTTAGCAATGTAGGCACGTTGTTCATTCAGTTTACTTTAAAAGAAGAAAAATAAATTTTGTAAGCTTAGAGGTGTGTACTGATTATGAATGTATTTTACAAACATAGGAGTCTTTCCTACTTTGTCATGCGTTGCATTTCCTGCTTCATTTGGACACATGTCTCCTCCAGTTTCTCATTCTGTAACAACCAGACATGTTTTTGAAACAGCAAAACCCATATCAACAACATATAAAAACATATTAGAAATCCCACTCTTTGCTGGTAGTAGCTCAACAGCCTCTTCTGGTGCCTCGCTTGGAACGCAATTACCTGAGAAAGAGTTAGAAAACACTCTGCACTACAACACTTAAACACTGCATAACATTTTGATGACATATCTTTAAGGACATCTGCTATAATTTGATGCAGCAGGTTGTGGTAATCAGTGCTGTACATTTAGTAGGAATACAAGTCATGGGAATGAAAAAAGGAACTTACTTTGTTGATTTCTGTTGAATTTTTTGATGCCAAAGTACTGAATTCACTAAACAAGGCCTTCACGTCAGAGCTGCTCTGCAACAATGACAATAACATGGCTGTGATGATTGTGGAACCACAGGAAGTTAGAAATTCTGTCTGTGAACGCTCCAAAGTGTGTTGCATTTTAACAATTTGAGGATGTTTTTTTAATGAGGCTTACTTTTTCACACAGGGGTGATACTTGGCACTGGGTACTGCAAATTAAACATATGCCTTGCTTGCCTGAAAAATAAAGGTGAAAATGACAGATTTGCAAAATTGGGAATAGAATTCCAAAACTCTAAATGGTAAATGGTCTGTATTTTTATAGCACCTTTATATGGTTCCCCCAACGCACTTTACAACACAACCAGTCATTCACACACTGGTGAGGATGAGCTAGACATAGCCACAGCTGCCCTGGGGCGCACTGGCAGAGGTAAGGCCTGCTGAACACTGGTGCCATAAGTTTCTCCGACCACCACCAGCAGGCAAGGCGGGTTAAGTGTCATGCTCAAGGACACAACAGCAGCATCGAACCTGAAACCTTCCAATTCCTGAACAGCCTGCTCTACCTCCTGAGGTACTGCTGCCTCTAGGTTTGTAGAAAATGAAGTGCTGAGGCTAACTCTATTGCATTACTTGAAATAATCAAATAATAATAATATATGAATCTTGTGATCTTTTCCCAAAGTGGAATGAAAGGACTTCCAAGAACAGTCAAATTCCCACTGACAGTGATCATTAATGAATAATCGTGTTTTTAAAACTAAAACTAAATAGAAAACGGTGGAAACAGTGACAACATCTCAGGTAATTTGGAGTGTAACAACATTTCTGCAGTTTCTCTTTCTGCCCAATAGATGTCCCTGTTTATTCACGTTGTATGATAAAAAAAAATACACTTGATTGTTTCGTTACTCTCGTCACTGATATAAGAGGTATTGATTAGATGCTTTTACTACCTTTCTGGTAACAGACGTTACAGATGACATGGCCGCAGGTGCTGACAGCCAGTTTGTGGTCTGCGCTCGGGGAAGAAAAGCAGGAATTGCAGCAGATCCAGAAAGACATCTTAAAAGCTGAAAGTAAATACCAGTTAAGCGAATTACTTCGTTTTTGCTGCTGCGTTTCTTGAGATAACAAAGAAAGCTAAATGTCAAAGTATGCCGTTTGGCGTTTTATGATGTCTTAGTTTATGTAGAAAGCGTTAATAAAGGGGAAGTTCCCCAAAAGTCAGTTAACTAACATTAACTTGCTGCACTTCTACTGTCACTGAAGCTAAACACCACTTTAGAATATAGCTAACTAGCGTTCCCGTTTAAAACAGCGATTTATACAATATCGTAATAATCAATGTATTCAAGCACCTACTTTAGACTTGATTTTACCTGTTGGTTGAATATTCGTTTTGAAACAAGTGCCAACTCGAATTGTCAGTTAAACACTTACATAATTATTTTTTAGAATTATGTTTATCAACAAAATAAAGACGGTGAACTATATTTCTTCTTCTGTGGTGGCTCAATTAGCTAGCTTAAAGCGCTATCAGTTGGTTGGCCCACAGCAGGAGATGTTAGCCCAAAGGGCTGTTAGGTGAGTAATGCCTTAAATATAAAGTCAACAAAAGATAATGAAAGATTCAGTTGGAACGTCACAATATTTCAATTCAAACATACTTTATTAATTCCAGAGGGAAATTAGAGTCAGTTATTTTCATTTTAGTACCAAATTGAGTTTTCAGTAATAGCAAAAGTAAACACCTTTCAAAAACATTATATTACACAAAAATCTATCATTTCTTTTCTGGTTAGAAACAGATTAGAAACAGTTCTTTTTTTTTTCATCCAAATTTATTTTGTCATTCATCCATTGTCCTAAAATTGGAAACTATACCTCCAAAACACGTTTTCTTTATAGGTCTAAACTTTCTGGTTACAATAATGTTGGCACTGGGATAACCAAGGCAAGCAAAGAGACAACTAGAAGTCGTGTCTTTGGATGGATAATGTTCATTTTCACACCAGTTTCTTGGCTATGAAAAAGTCTTTGAGTCGTTTGATCTGCCAGAAGCCCACAGACAGCAGAATGATGGTCTGCACCACGGCCCACCACAGAACTTTGTCGTTGGTTTCTTCACTGATTGCACGGAATACCTCCTCCTTCTCCTAAATGTTTAAATGGAGCAGAAAAAAAAGACGTTTGGACACAACTTTTTAAATGATTTTTTTCATGACTATTTACATTGTAGATGGTCTGAAGGCACAGAATTAACTCATATGGAATCATCTAAACAAAAAAGAGACTTGTCTCTAAATATATTTTATATTCCTCTAAGCAGCCATCCTTTGCTTGAAATGTAGACAGACAGTAGCCAAAGCAAAATGCCTTTTCTCAGCATGTCAGTCTAGTATCGCGTCAGACCCATGTCACAACCCGTGCACGCGCATTGGGTCCACAGCGCGCGTGTGAACGGGACTCGCGAGCGAAAATATACATGGCAGCGCGCGCGTGAACGGGACTCGCGAGCGAAAATATACATGGCGAGAGGTCATTTGTGCACTGAAAGGGAGCAAACTGTGTCTGTGAGCGCACAAGGATGTGCACAAGTGACAAACCTGCGTGCGCGCGTTGCCAACGAGCACACGGCAGAGGAAAATGTGCGCGCGCGGCAGCCTCTCTGCGCGCTCGGCAGCCTCTGCGCGCTCGGTTCCTAATTCCGCTCGCTCGGCTGTGAGGAGTTTTGGCACTCTGGAGGCGTGGCCTGTGGCAGATCTTCCCTATCCTCTGATTGGTTAGTTTACCCCGCACTTTACTCTCTAGCTATCTATATAAAAAAATCTGATATTCAGCAGTTGCTGGCATAGCTCAGCTGGGAGAGCGGGTGACTCTCACTCTGGAGGATCCAGGTTCGAGTCTGGCCAAGTAACATAGAGTTGATGTCATATTATTCTTTCCTAATTCCTGTGATATTATTTTACAGTTGTGACCGTTCAACTGTCATTAAATGTCCGAATGTTTGCTGGGCAGTGTTTTAAAAAGTGCACATAAGCTAGATGGTTTAAACCAGGTAAAAATAGACTTGTGGGTGTAGGTATGTTCAAGTTTAAAAAGTTCTTGCCTCATTAATGTATTGTTTATTTTTTTCAGCATTTAATTGACAAATTATCCTTTCAAATAATTAATTGATGAGTTACATAATTGTCCATTTAGAATTGTTGAATGGACTGAGTCAAGTTTGGTGCACTTTATATATTTCAAAACATGTTTTTTTTTATTATGCATATAAATAATTTTAATGTTAATTTATTGAAATATTTCTATTTTTTCATTACCTCACCCTTGTTTTGACAAAAACAAGACCTTGCTGGATAATATCACGGAGAAACTATTTGTTCACAGTACTTGGCTCAAAGAGGATCTGTATACCAAAGGAGGAGATGCTCAGAAATCTGTCTGCAGATTGTTACAACCCAGACTGGAAGTGGTGGGCTGTAATAAGAAAGGAGACCAAACAGAGGAGTGGGGGTTCAACAACTGATTTATTTAACCAAAGTAAGGATTTACTAAAGCAGATCAGTGCAGTCAAGAATTACTGGTGTTTGGGTAGTCCTGAACGTGTTGTGATGCCCCCACCGTCTCATTGGGTTTTCATTTGTGTTTAATTGTGTTTTTCTTCTGTTGTAGGCAGCTCGTTAAGCAGCCTTGGAGGCACCTGGGCTCAGGGTGTGGTGCTGCCTACAAAGCCTACTGTTTTTCTGCTTTCACTGGGTCTCTCCTGTGTGGTGGAGAGTCCTCACTGGCCATTTTCTGTTCACTAACTTGCTTTAGTAAATCCTTACTTTGGTTAAATAAATCAGTTGTTGAACCCCCACTCCTCTGTTTGGTCTCCTTTCTTATTACAGCCCGCCACTTCCAGTCTGGGTTGTAACAATCTGCAGACAGATTTCTGAGTATCTCCTCCTTTACACAGATCCTCACTGAGCCATGTACTGTGAACAAATAGTTTCTCCATGATATTATCCAGCAAGGTTCCGTTTTTGTCAAAACAAGGGTGAGGTAATGAAAAAATAGAAATATTTCATTAAATTAACATTTAAATTATTTATATGCATCATTAAAAAAAACATGTTTTGAAATATATAAAGTGCACCAAACTTTACTCAGTCCATTCAACAATTCTAAATGGACAATTATGTAACTCATCAATTAAATATTTGAAAGGATAATTTGTCAATTAAATACTGAAAAAAATAAACAATACATTAATGAGGCAAGAACTTTCTCTCTCTCTCTCTCTCTCTCTCTCTCTCTCTTTCTCTTTCTCTCTCTCTCTCTCTCTCTCTCTCTCTCTCTCTCTCTCTCTCTCTCTCTCTCTCTCTCTCTCTCTCTCTCTCTCTGGAAGCCCCACTCTAAGGGAGTTTGCAGTGTATTAGTGAGTCATATATTGTACAATCACAGTCATAAAGTTTTCAACCAGTAGTTTTATTTCAGTATGTATTTTTCCAGTATCACAAAAAATGTAATTTTATATGGTTAAAACCATCTAGCTTATGTGCACTTTTTAAAACACTGCCCAGCAAACATTCGGACGTTTAATGACAGTTGAACTGTCACAACTGTAAAATACCTGAAATTAAGAAAAGTTAACATGACATCTACTGCATTTTCCTTGCCCGGACTCGAACCTGGATCCTCCGAAGCGAGAGTCACCCGCTCTCCCAGCTGAGCTATGCCAGCAACTACTGAATATCTGACTTTTTTATATACATAGAGGGTAAAGTGCGGGGTAAACTAACCAATCAGAGGACAGAGAAGATCTGCCACAGGCCACGCCTCCAGAGTGCCAAAAGCCCTTACAGCCGAGCGAGCAGGAGTCAGAAACCGAGCGCGCAGAGAGGCTGCCGAGCGCGCACAGAGGCTGCCGCGGGCGCACGTTTTCCTCTGCCGTGTGCTCGTTGACAACGCGCGCACGCAGGTTTGTCACTTGTGCACATCCTTGTGCGCTCACAGACAGTTTGCTCCCTCTCAGTGCACAAATGACCTCTCGCCATGTATATTTCCGCTCGCGAGTCCCGTTCACACGCGCGCTGCCATGTATATTTGCGCTCGCGAGTCCCGTTCACACGCGCGCTGTGGACCCAATGCGCGTGCACGGGTTGTGGCACGCTTTAAACGCCATAGTCTAGCCACACTCTATAGAGCCTCAGCATGTCTACCATTGGCATGAGCAGTATCGCGTCATACCCCTGTCAAAACCCGTGCACGCGCATTGGGTCCACAGCGCGCGTGTGAACGGGACTCGCGAGCGGAAATATACATGGCGAGAGGTCATTTGTGCACTGAGAGGGAGCAAACTGTGTCTGTGAGCGCACAAGGATGTGCACAAGTGACAAACCTGCGTGCGCGCGTTGTCAACGAGCACACGGCAGAGGAAAACGTGCGCGCGCGGCAGCCTCTGTGCGCGCTCGGCAGCCTCTCTGCGCGCTCGGTTTCTGACTCCTGCTCGCTCGGCTGTAAGGGTTTTGGCACTCTGGAGGCGTGGCCTGTGGCAGATCTTCTCTGTCCTCTGATTGGTTAGTGTACCCCGCACTTTACCCTCTACCTATCTATATAAAAAAGTCTGCTAGTCAAGTAGTTGCTGGCATAGCTCAGTTGGAAGAGTGGGTGACTCTCGCCCCGGAGGATCCAGGTTCGAGGCCGGGCAAGGAAAATGCAGTAGATGTCATGTTAATTTTTCTTAATTTCAGGTATTTTACAGTTGTGACCGTTCAACTGTCATTAAACGTCCGAATGTTTGCTGGGCAGTGTTTTAAAAAGTGCACATAAGCTAGATGGTTTTAACCATATAAAATTACATTTTTTGTGATACTGGAAAAATACATACTGAAATAAAACTACTGATTGAAAACTTTATGACTGTGGTTGTACAATATATGACTCACTAATACACTGCAAACTCCCTTAGAGTGGGGCTTCCAGAGAGAGAGAGAGAGAGAGAGAGAGAGAGAGAGAGACAGAGAGAGAGACAGAGAGAGAAAAGTTCTTGCCTCATTAATGAATTGTTTATTTTTTTCAGTATTTAATTGACAAATTATCCTTTCAAATAATTAATTGATGAGTTACATAATTGTCCATTTAGAATTGTTGAATGGACTGAGTCAAGTTTGGTGCACTTTATATATTTCAAAACATGTTTTTTTTTATTTTAATGATGCATATAAATAATTTAAATGTTAATTTAATGAAATATTTCTATTTTTTCATTACCTCACCCTTGTTTTGACAAAAACGGGACCTTGCTGGATAATATCATGGAGAAACTATTTGTTCACAGTACATGGCTCCGTAAGGATCTGTGTACCAAAGGAGGAGATACTCAGAAATCTGTCTGCAGATTGTTACAACCCAGACTGGAAGTGGCGGGCTGTAATAAGAAAGGAGACCAAACAGAGGAGTGGGGGTTCAACAACTGATTTATTTAACAAAAGTAAGGATTTACTAAAGCAAGTTAGTGAACAGAAAATGGCCATCTCAAGGTTTTACTCGGATGTCCCTCAGCAGGGTGCAGCACTGTTGAAGGTCATCTGAATGAAAGCTTGATATGCAGTTTCTTTATGAAAGTGTGTAAATATACAGTGTGGTTGCCGTACATATGTTGAGGTTCTCAGACATCAGGCTTCTTTGCCCAGGCCTTCACTAGTGGGCTATTTTAAAAGTTGGTAAGGAGAAAAACCACAGCATATAGCTGATTGTTTACAAATGCAAGGAGGGGAATAGCAATCAAAATGCTTGTGTTCTTGGACCAGATGAATGGAGCGCTCCACATGCACTCAGAGATGTTATGGCTTCTGTTTCTATAACTTTACATGCAGACATTTGAGGTTTGCCAGAAAGGAAAGCTGGCCTGTACACTTTGCAGGGCACAATGTCATCAATGAAGAAACCCCTGTCTACCAAGATGACCATCTCTAGTTGTAGCATTTTCAACACACCAGATTCCCAGGTTGGTCGCTGATAGTTCCAGCATACAGTGCTGAGACAAAGGTCACTGGCCTATGTGGCACAATCCAAATGAGCCTCTTCAGAGTGCAGTTGAACTTGAGGAAAATATATGACTCTGGAAGAGAGGGGAATATGGCCATTGACACCTCAGATCAGTGCAGTCAAGAATTACTGGTGTTTGGGTAGTCCTGAACGTGTTGTGATGCCCCCACCATCTCATTGGGTTTTCATTTGTGTTTAATTGTGTTTTTCTTCTGTTGTAGGCAGCTGGTTAAGCAGCCTTGGAGGCACCTGGGCTCAGGGTGTGGTGCTGCCTACAAAGCCTACTGTTTTTCTGCTTTCACTGGGTCTCTCCTGTGTGGTGGAGAGTCCTCACTGGCCATTTTCTGTTCACTAACTTGCTTTAGTAAATCCTTACTTTTGTTAAATAAATCAGTTGTTGAACCCCCACTCCTCTGTTTGGTCTCCTTTCTTATTACAGCCCGCCACTTCCAGTCTGGGTTGTAACAATCTGCAGACAGATTTCTGAGTATCTCCTCCTTTGGTACACAGATCCTTACGGAGCCATGTACTGTGAACAAATAGTTTCTCCATGATATTATCCAGCAAGGTCCCGTTTTTGTCAAAACAAGGGTGAGGTAATGAAAAAATAGAAATATTTCATTAAATTAACATTTAAATTATTTATATGCATCATTAAAATAAAAAAAAAAACATGTTTTGAAATATATAAAGTGCACCAAACTTGACTCAGTCCATTCAACAATTCTAAATGGACAATTATGTAACTCATCAATTAATTATTTGAAAGGATAATTTGTCAATTAAATACTGAAAAAAATAAACAATTCATTAATGAGGCAAGAACTTTTCTCTCTCTGTCTCTCTCTCTGTCTCTCTCTCTCTCTCTCTCTCTCTCTCTCTCTCTCTCTCTCTGGAAGCCCCACTCTAAGGGAGTTTGCAGTGTATTAGTGAGTCATATATTGTACAACCACAGTCATAAAGTTTTCAATCAGTAGTTTTATTTCAGTATGTATTTTTCCAGTATCACAAAAAATGTAATTTTATATGGTTAAAACCATCTAGCTTATGTGCACTTTTTAAAACACTGCCCAGCAAACATTCGGACGTTTAATGACAGTTGAACGGTCACAACTGTAAAATACCTGAAATTAAGAAAAATTAACATGACATCTACTGCATTTTCCTTGCCCAGCCTCGAACCTGGATCCTCCGGGGCGAGAGTCACCCGCTCTTCCAACTGAGCTATGCCAGCAACTGTTTGACTAGCAGACTTTTTTATATAGATAGGTAGAGGGTAAAGTGCGGGGTACACTAACCAATCAGAGGACAGAGAAGATCTGCCACAGGCCACGCCTCCAGAGTGCCAAAACCCTTACAGCCGAGCGAGCAGGAGTCAGAAACCGAGCGCGCAGAGAGGCTGCCGAGCGCGCACAGAGGCTGCCACGCGCGCACGTTTTCCTCTGCCGTGTGCTCGTTGACAACGCGCGCACGCAGGTTTGTCACTTGTGCACATCCTTGTGCGCTCACAGACACAGTTTGCTCCCTCTCAGTGCACAAATGACCTCTCGCCATGTATATTTCCGCTCGCGAGTCCCGTTCACACGCGCGCTGTGGACCCAATGCGCGTGCACGGGTTGTGGCACGCTTTAAACGCCATAGAGCAGTATTATGTTATGCCAATCACAGCACCTTACCGGTTTGGTGGGCGGGATGATCTGACGGAGCGGAACAACTAAAATGGCAATGGCTTGTTTGAAACAGCTTTGGCATCAACTTTGAACCATTTAGGCTTGGACCTTTCTGTGAGTCAATAGCAGATAGAGCAGGCTCTCAGACCTGAAGCCAACAAGGAAGTGGCAGACATTGCAGTTATACCCTCTTCTGCTAGTGGCTGGCACCAGAAGTGAGCAGATCTTCATTGACTCCCATGTTAAAAATGCCAATTTCACAGCAGAAATAAACATGTTTACAGCCCGGTTCAAAAAATATTTCAAATTTAATAGTTCTAGTTTGCATTCATGACAACTCTGAGTGGGGTGGATCTTTTTGTAACTACTGTTTAACTGGAAAGAAATGCTTAACATTCTGAATAATTTATGAGTATCAGAGCACTGTGAATTCAAAGCTAGCTCTAGGGAAAGGCCTCAGCCGGGCCTCACGTTAGTAGATTTTCTGCCATTTTGACTCTCTGAACTTTAGATGCCTTCACTTTGGAGTCACTGTACCGCGTTTTTCTTGCTAAAAATGCCTGGAAAAATTTGGTTAGCTTTGGATTAGCGTGTAGCTATTGTCCCTATCATCTCTGACCGTGGAGCAAGAGCTGATGTAAAAGGCCACGGCGCCTGGCTACGATTGCAGCGGACTGAGGCTCCACTTGTAATTTAACAGTTCCAGTCCATATTAGATCTCCACAGACCAGTATGACTACAGCCTCACATGGGAGCCAGTCAGCCATGCGGGTGGGCTACCCTCAGTACCCCTTCTTAGCTTCTTGGGTTAGTTAAGTTAGCTAGTAGCTACACTGGTTCATTTGTTCTGAATTGTTCCAACCGTAACAGCCCCACCCTCAGCTCTGCGGCTTTCCTGATTTTTGAATTGTCTGGGCGTGACGGGGCATGTGACACAACGGTGGTGTTCGGAACCTCCCATTTTATATCCAAAACCTATAATTCCAGACTATGGGAATTATTTGTCCAGTATATATGTCGATGGGTATTCCCCCAGTGCTTTATAACCTTGGCGGGACGCCAGGCTTTGCTTGGTCACCCATCAGGCCAAATGTCACCCCACCCCCGTCACGGGCAACACACGGTAGCGAAACGAATCGCGCACCCGTCCTCCACTGTCACGGACGAGGAATGATAGCGGAACAATCCATGTTTTCTGGGGGAATCTCTGTAGAGGTATCCTTTCTTTAGAAAAAATAATGTACCGTATTTGCTTTTTTTTAACAGTGTATGGCATTTAGATTATTTTCCTGTTTTATATCTTATACAGTGCTGTTATTACAGCAGATTTTAAAATGGCTGTGGCCATCTGTCTCTGCTGCAAGTGTTCTGTTTGTCTCTCAACACTGTGGGTGAGTGACAGACAGAGAGAGAGAGAGAGAGAGAGAGAGAGAGAGAGAGAGAGAGAGAGAGAGAGAGAGAGAGAGAGAGAGAGAGACTGATTCTCCAGCAGTAAAACAGGGTTTACCATACTAACTCTATTGGACCTGATAGAGCAGCTTCTCTTCTTTAAAAAAACTGTTGGAATTTTTCTGATGGCGCACGATATTTCAAACAAGCATGTAAAACATGTCAGAGTTTGGTGTTTTGTGGAGAAAAAACAATGAGATGGCCCAGAAAAACGCCAGCGATGTGTCGGTCACGAACGAAACGGCTCTTAAAGCCGATCGGAGACGGAGCTAGAGTGAATGACACAGACTGTATCCACACACCCCATCCCACGCTGAGCTGTTAACAAGCAGCAAAAATGTAAACACACATTTGAAATCAATTCTTATGTTCAGTTTTCCTCCTTGCATTATTAGAGTAGAACAAGTAGAACATATTTTTTATGTAGCACCTCTCTAGATAAAAATCACAAGCTGCTTCACAAGCACATTAAAAAATAAAAATACCTTCAAGAATATAATATTGGGAGAAATGTTTTTAGAGCTTTTTATGTTTTTATGGTATGATTTATATGACCACACAGTGAATAATGTGTTAAGCCTTGATTTGAAGAACATTTATTTTTGAGTAGTATTTTGTCTTTTTGTGGTTACAAAAACGGAAGTGGTGTCTTGCCTTTACAATCTATCACAAAACATTTGTTTTATGTTGATGTTTCATGATTACTCTGTCGGTATGGCACTAGCACCCTCAATCTTTGATTTAGTATCAAGCAGGTACAGAAAATCAATGGATAGATGGATGTTCATAACACACCATGAACAATGTAATTATAGGATTGTCTTGTCAAGTCACAAATGTCATATGTACCCTTTGATAGTCCTGATGCCTGGTGATGAACTTCATCTGATCAATGAGGTGTGTGAGACTGTTCTCAAGAGTCTGCAAGTTGTCTTTTGTCCTGTCAACGTTGGGATCAATGGAGTGTTCTCCCATCTGGACATCCAAATGTAGCTTCTGTGACGCAGAAATAAAAAAGAGAATGTTGTCACTCTTATGAGTTTATATTCTATATGCTTCTCTGGATTTATTTATTTATTTTCTTGCTTTATTTCCACAGATCTCACCAGTCTTTCTCCAGCAAAGACAGAAAACTTTGTGGAATTGGTTTGGAAGCAAATGTAATGCTGACCAGAGGCATGAGCAGTGAAGGTGAATTTGCCATTTTTTCCAAAGCGTTTTGACATCATGACCTAAAGAGGAGGAAAGATACATAAATGTTTTAATTTTTTTTTGTTAGAAATGCAGCTGTCTTATTTTTCATCCTTCAAAAGCCAAGGAAGAGGAAGTGATGACTTTACCTCCTGTTCTGGATCTCTGACTATCGCAGTGACACCAAGGTGAGGGGAGTGGCTCAGTCTCATCCGGTCCCAGGGCTCCAACAGGAAGTGACCTGAAGGTAGGAGTCCCGCTTGAGTTCAGACAAAATACTCACCCCTCTGGTCATTTAACCCAGAAGTTTTGAAGAGCAGGTTCACTGACAAACCATTTATTACTTATTATTTTTGAAAATGATCAGTAACTCTGAGTTTGACGTGCAGGCTGAATGTTACAAAAAAGTCTTCTACACTTATCTCCTCCATTAGTTTCTGATAGAAAAATGACAGTGAAAGGCTAGGATTTGAAAAGCCTGACAGCATGACATCACACTGTTACTTAATATTCAGGGACTCACCCATCACCGATCAACCATCTCAGTAGCCTAGTGGTAGAGTGTCCGCCCCAGGACTGAGAGTTCACATCCCGGTCTCTCATCAAAGGCTTTAAAAATGGGACCCAATGCCTCCCTTGTTGACACTCAGCTTTAAAGGGATGGATTGGGGTGTTAAACCACCTAATAGTTCCAGAGCGCAGCCACAACTGCAGCTCACCACGCCCCATGGGGCTGGGTCAAATGTGGAGATGAATTTCACCAGTGTGTGATGACTAATGGGACTTTATCTTTGACTTGCGATGGGGGAGACTGTTGTTGGTTTAGTGTCCAGGAAACAGCAGAGAATGTCTCGGCTAGTTGAAGCTAACCATTAGCATTAACAACTCCACCACACCGCAGAACTCCTTCAGGCTTGTATTATTTATGGAGATAAAACTTCAATGCTGTAGAACAAACAGGGTCAGTGGTAGAGCCATATTTCTGTTATCCAATCAGAAGCAAGATGTCCAATTATCAGGAAATAAGACTCCAAATCCAAATGTCTGAAGCTACTTTCTCCTCTGGCTGACTTCTACTTTCTCAAACAGAGCTTTTTTCCCCAGAGAATGACTTACAAGGCATTGATTCCTACCAGAGACCACTGCAGATGTATTAAAATTATGAGTAAAGTTGACCTTTAAACACTCGAAAACTCACAAGAATACATTCTTACTTGATTTCCCCAACAACTAATTTTTGCAGGCATTAAACATTTGGACAGAGCTGTAGGAAAGCATGTGAGAAGTTGAGTGTCGATTAAAGGTGCAGTATGTAAGAATATAGTGAGAATTTTACAGTGAGAAAATCCTAAAAGAGTCTAATGTTTTAGTCACACAGTGCCGGCAAATCTGTGTAAAATTACTGCAACGGTGTGTTTTATAAATGTGCCATGCTGGCATGGCGTTCCACGAGTTTTAGTAGAAATGTTAACTGTGTCTTATAAACGGTGACTGCGCCTTGGCGCAACAGAGGGAGGTGCTGCAATCATGTGTGGAGTTACTGTCAAGCCCCAGCTGGCAACTATATTGAAATGAAATTAAAGTAAGCACGGGTCATAAGTTTTGTTTTGAGAACAAAAACAGCTGAGATGCTAACTGGAGCGTTGCAGCGTTCCAGGAGGTTCTCTCCGTTAGAGCTGGAGCTCAAATCACCAGAGACTGCACGAGGACTGTTGAGGACAGAAACCTCTAAGAGCAGCTTGTTAAAAAAAACTTAACGATTGCGGCTTCAATCGCAATAAAAAGTAAGTTATATCCAAGAGAATTAGACGTCCGTGGCAGTGCAAAGGCTTCCCCCACCCCCTTTATAGCACCATTGCGTAATCGTTTATAAAAAAAAAGGACAGGATTGCGCCACATTTCCGCCACCGTCTGAGCACTTATAAATTATCTTAGGCTCCCTGATTCACGGCATTGTTTTTTATAAACAGCTATTGAAACATATTTCATATCCAGCTGGCTGTGGGGATTGTCAGTTTTTCTCCTTTCAAATCAAAGGAAAAAGGGATGTAACTAATGTTTACCATCATTGAGTGTTGGGGTGCCATGTCTTTACTGCAGCGCTGACAATTGTAATTTGACAACCGCCAGCAAAAAAAGCTCCAGAGTTGTTTAAAGTGGTTGCAGTAACCAAATTTTACCACAGGATGTTATTTTTACTTCATTTCTACATAATGCACCTTTAAGTTTAAGAGTTGTAAAAGTCATGGTTTAGACACGGTTCAGTCAGGATGTCTCAGCAGAATCAGCCTTGGATTGGTCAGCTCTCTCCAAGGCAGTTCTCAGTCATAGCCTACAATGGCCTCACCAACATACTCTTTCTCATATCACGGTGACACATTGTGATTCAAAACAGTTTCTCCGGGACCGTATGATATTAACTCACCAGGACCTGGACAGACATACCACTACACACTTCCAGGTAAATGTATATAACTTTACTGTATAAATAAACTGACCTTGGACGTAGCATCACATCAATTACTGGAGTTGAGGGCAGGATTTAAACTCCAGAGGATGATTGCTTTTAGATAACTTACCTGTCACTAGTGTGTCTTCTGGAATCTCCTCAATGATGCATTTTTCCTCCTGCTCACCTAGATCAAAATACATGGCAGCTGCCAGCATCAGGTAGCACTGGAGAAGAAACCCTACTCCCTGGAAACTCATTTTAGATGAACTGTTCAAGATTTCACTTAACAGTGACTAAATTTTTGTTCAGGAGTTCTGCAAATCTGCAAATTCTAACTCAATGTTCACTTGTTGTTTTCTGAGCACAGCCCATGTTTAACGTGGAAGGCAATGGTTTCAGTGTGAGAAACTAACAGGTGCTGCTTTTGGTGACGAGACATTCTGGTTGTTTTGTGACTGGCTGACTCTGGAGCCAATAGCAAAGCTGGATTACACATTAAATATTCAGAAATCTTTCATTTCCAAAAAATAAATGACAGTTTGGGTTTAATGTGGAATTAAATAATTGAGTTTTGTCCACTTCAGGTAATTTCTATCCATTTAAAGCAGCAATCTGGAGTTTTCCTATTTTCAGGAATTGTCAGTCAGGTTTATTGGTATAGCACTTTCCACACCTGCAAGGTGATCCAAAGCACTAAACATAGCGTAAAACAATCAGTATGACAATAAACAACAATAAAAACCAAGAGAAAAAAACTAACATGGACACCCTTTTTTAGAAATCTTTAAAAATGACATTCTTACTTTGTGCTGTGATATAATGTAGGCAATTTGTCTTATATTTGTGCTAGACTTGGACCCATCCCATAGAGCCCTATGCAATAGTGTATACTACAGTTGATGTCACCATGAAAGTGCTGCTGGGTGTTAGGGCTAGACAAACAAACCACATTTGTCACTTTCAAATTACAGACAGAGCGGCACACTAGGACGTTGATTAAAACAAGTCAACAGAAACAAAATCCTAACTTTTATGCTAAAAAAAATACTTATTACTCACAGTACTCAAGTAACATTTTCTCTAAGTGCTTTTATTTTTACTTTTAGGTTATATTTTGTGTCACCACTTTTTACATACCACCCACCTCAGGTCAAAAGCCTTTTTTGTCCACCTTTGGATGGACATTCTGTTTGGCCTGCACTGTCAGCTGGACCCCTTCTACACTGCTGTGTCCTAGTAACACCACATCTGAGAGCAGTGCTTGTATCGGTTCGTCATTCTCGGATGTAGGACTTTTCCCTCCTGCAGAATGTATGTAACAAACCTACACACACCCCTTGATGTGCTCCACACTGTGAACATCTGGTCTCCCACATAAACACTACCACCTTGAAATGAGTGAAGCAACTCAGACCCATAAGAATCCAAGCAAAATACACGCTTGCTTGTCCAAGGCTACTTTCCACAATGCATCACAAAGTTACACTATTTGGGGGGATGGACTGTTCAGCTACCATTTGTTATGCCATGCATGCGCAGGAAGAACATGCAAACGCAATGCAGAAAGACCCCAGGCCAGGATTTGAACCCAGGGCCTTCTTTCTGCAAGGCAACAGCGCTAACCACTGCACCACTGTGCAGCCCAAAAGATTTATATATTTTTATATGTAAACGGCATAACAAGAAAAAGTAATTGTAAAACGATATGTTTTAGTTCTGTTGGCCAATAAGAAGTGTGTGTGTTTTAATGGGGGGGCATTACTTCACACGAACTTTTTCTGCTAATCAGAAAGGAATAAAATCGCTCGTATAACATATGTTAAGATGTCACAGTTTATTAATCTGTATTAGTTGTATAGGTGGGGAGAAGAGGCCCTTTTCAAAATGCGGCTCTGGATTTTAAAGCTCAGTGCCATTTGAAGTATTTTAGTATAAACATTTGGTGAACAACTTTGTATTGTTGGAGACGCTTCATTATTTTTTATGAGCAACACCTCATCAGAGTGTTTCCTGTCCAGATCCGGGGTTTGAATCCACGCCATTAAGCTCAACTTTGATTTTCTGCAGGATCACAAATGCTGGCTCAGAAACTGTGTAACTGAGCCCATATTTGTTATTTACTGTTAAGAGACGTTAAAAACAAAATACATCAAATAATGGACAGACAAAAGTTAAACTGCTAGTGACACATAGCCCCCCCCCCCTTCACAAAATAAAAGTGACTATTCAAAATGATACATTTACAGTTTATTAAATTCTTCCATAAAACATTTTGTTTTGTACATTTCTAAAGATTTTTTCCACAAAACCCTATGCTCCTGTTAAACGAATACCTCAATTACATATAAGAGTACACATTTGGGACTATACATACTGTACATGACAGGTTACCATCCTGTCAATAAATATAGTATTTTTGTTTGAGGAGAACAACCTCAGTTAGTCGGGTGGGGCAGCATGTGGATGATATTTAAGATGATGATAGGTAAAATGAAAGTTATTAGCCTTAGAAATTAAAACATAACCAACTGCGTTGCATTTTAATAACAGCTTTGTTCAAAGTTGCTTTGCTCTTCACTAGTTTATTTGATAATATGCCAGAACTAAAGTGGTGTCTAAATTGCTGTTTGGCAAAACTACACCTGTTCAGCACTGGCACAGCTATCCAATGCCCTTCAGATGAGAAATCTATCACAGGGTCACACTCTTCCTGCTAAAACCAGTTGATCGGGTAAGGCCAGTGAGAGGAAACACAATTTAATCTCTTCTTTTTAAGCCTTATGTCAATATACAGTGGACCGTTTACTGTTCTTAGACCGTCTTCGTCCCTTCCGTCCTTTTCTAGATTTCCTCTCTTTTGTCTTTCGTCTGTCCTTCCTCTCCTTCTTCTCCCTCCTGTCCCGGCCTAGTCATAAACAGTTGTCCGGGAAGCACTTCCTTTCTTCCTCCAGCAGGGGGCAGGCTGCTCCACTGTTGGCTGGCTGCATTATAACATACCGTGTGCGGTGCTGCACTCCTGAGTCTCCACACTTGCCTTTGCACAATCCCCAAGGAGACCACGCTGACACCTCACAGTCCAGAGGTGTATCTGTACACAGAGAAACATTGTAATCATGAGTTTTCTTTTTCATTTTGGTCAATGTTTTTTATATTTAAAAATGTGTTTCATTTCTGGTTAAAGGCACGGCAAGCTTACTCTTTTTATTTCTTTGTAGAAGTTTTAACAAACAGAATCAGCAGAACATTTTTTGACAGCAATAGAAAAATAACTGGTCTTCAGCAGATGTTTGTTTTTACAAGTGCAAAGAAGGACTTACAGTAAACGCTGGCTAATGACATGTGCAGGTCCCCGTAAACTCCAAAGCTCTTGTAATGAGTTATTGGCAATTGTTGTGCAATGACAGCTTTATTGAGTTTCTGCTAAATATGCCTTCTTTTTGCCAGCATACATTGGACCCCATAAATTTATCTAAGGTATAAAGTGGTTGCCAGAGTAACTAAACCCCAAAATAACCTTTTTTCGGCTAATTAACTCTATAATTGGGTCTTTACAAATGCAATCTTTCTGTTTCTGTGCATTTTTGACATGTTTGTGTAAACTTGATTAAATCTAGAATCTAGGTCTAAAAACGTCTTAGTGCTGCCCCCTGTGGCAGAACAGCGGCTACTGCATTTTAAACTTGTGATTGACTGCGACTGGAACAATTTCATGTCATCGGTACAGTCTCCTCCCACTCCCCCTCCCTCCCAGGATGGAAATTCCCCACACTTGGCCATGCCACCCTGTGCCTCCTGGCAACGCCCACTTTCATGGCATTTTTCAAATCTTGACTAGGGGTGGAGTTACGTTTTCTGATGGTGCGCAGTCCCTCTTTAAATATTTAATAGATATGGTAAACATTTGAGTCTCATATTCATTCTTGCTTTCTTCCTCCACTTTACTAAAACACCATGAACTCGCCTCGCTATGTCAGCCAAGCGGGATGTGAGTTAACCGATGTGGATCGCAGTTGTGGGTTAGGAAGTAGAAAAGCAGAAGGATCGGAGGCGGTGCGGAAGCTGCAAGGATGGATGGATGCAGGGATTTAACCCGAATGTCAAGTCAAGGCTGATTTTTAACATTTTCCATCTTCCTGTGTGTCTGTTAATGACACGATAAAAAAATCAGATGTTAACAAAACACTACAGGGAGCAGAAATTTAGATTGATTATTCGTCAGTATTTTATTTGACAGATAAAATCTACAGCAGGTAATTGTTTATTAAGAAGAGCTTTTGTATGGGCTTTAGGGAGAAGGAGAGAACACAGTAGAGATTCAGTGAAGGAGAAAGGAAAAATAAACAGATGGTGAGTCAGGATGGAGCACCAGAGTGCAGGGCAGGAAACCCCAACAGATTGTTGGCCACGCTTTGTTGTGTGTTCAAAGGTAGTCAGGGGAACGGGTTGTGTTCTGTAATGCTGACTCAAACCTTTACCTGTCATCCTAAATGCAGAGTTTGATTAAAGTACTTTGATTTCTGTTTCTCATTTTTAAAGCATGTTACTGCTTAGATCAGGTGCTTAGAGTCAATGTGGTGATTTGTGCTTTCAAGAAAAGCCTGAGGTGAAGTTTGATTTTGTTTACCAACTTATTCTCTAAGGAACAAGAGCGTAAATACTCCAGTGGTCAGAGAATGGAGTTCTGTCTTTTAGATGCTAGATTGTGAGTCCCATTTTGTCACTTCTGTTCACAAGGGTCACAAATTCTCCCAATTCAATTCATTTCAGTTTATTTATATTGCACCAAATCAAAACCACAGTTGTCTCAAGTCACTTATTAAGCAAGCATATAGCGATAGTGGAGATGTAAACTCCCCTTAACAGAAAGAAACCAACAGAACCTGGCTCAGTATTCCATCCTTCATATTCTGCCTGTTTAACGTTATTAGATGTGTTCCTGCATTTTCTGATCCACAGCACTCCCATGGCTACTCTGGTGTCAAGTTAGACATAATAGAGATTGTGTATGGCCTGGTGTTTCCCAAAGGCTCCACTAGGCATGTTTCCATTACCAGAACTCCAGGGTAGTTCCTGGGATGGGGAACTTGACCAGGAGATAGGATGTCCCAGTCCTCTCAGCTGTTGTGTCTCCATTCAAATGCAGCCCTTTGAGAACTTGCACAGACATCAGCATATCAGGACTGCTTTGGCAGTGAGTGATGTCACTGATCAGCCCCAAAAAGCGTCCAAAGTAACATTAATAATATTAAAAGCATATATTTTATAGAAGTATATCATAATTTAATCCATTCAGAGGAAAAGAGCAGCTCTGAGTTTGGTGAGACAAGCACCATTAATTAAGTCTGTGGGGGAGTTTTCCGGTGTCAGGAGTTAGATTTTAAATGCAATCGGTACTTTTTTTTTTTTGCTTCCATTCTGCTTCACCAGCTACTCTTCTAATTTTACTTCTGCTGGTTGTTTTGGACACTTGCTGATGTCATTTCCTACTGAGTTACAACCAATCAGCATGAGTTAACCAGAGGTTCCACTCAGCTACTTCACCAGGCCATTCTGAGTTCCAGAGCAGGTACTCAGAAGGTTCCTGAAAACAGCCCGAAAAATGGCCATTCGGACGGCCCGGTCAGGTGGAGACACGCACATGTCGGGAGGTTCCTGTAAATCTACCCTAAAGTTCTTGTAGTGGAAACACGCCTATTGAATCATTACAACAGACATTCACTCCTAATTTAGCTAAATGAGGTGGAAACTCTAATCTTTCTTATGTGTTTGTTTTTTATCATTCTGCACATACCGTATTTTCTGGACTATAAGCCGCTACTTTTTCCCACGCTTTGAACCATGCGGCTTATAATGAGGTGAGGCTTTCCTGAAGATTTTCCTTCACCTGCCAGGGGGCGCTTTAGCAGAAAGTGAAACAGGTGGAAGTCATAAGTGGAAATGGAAGAAAGTGCTCATTTTAATTTAGCACATGCAAGCAGCCGGCACGACGAAGAATTTTTTTTCAATTCCATACCCCCTCATCATGGAAACTACACGTATGAGTTCATATGATGCCACATTTAAGTTGAAGGCCATCGATCTGGCAGTAAAGGAGGGAAACAGTGCTGCCGCACGTAAGCTTGGCATGAATGAATCCATGGTTTGGCGCTGGAGACGGCAGCGGGAAGAACTCATTCAAGCCAGCTTCACCCGGGGATGATGACAGCAACACGGACAGCGACACTGACATCACCACAGAAAAGGTTTGTGACGAAGCTCTTCTGAGGCTGTTCAACTCCGACACTGAAGAAGAGGACTTAATGGCTTTTGTGCGCAAGAGGAAGATGAGAGCGAATGATTTTTTCTGGTAGGCGAGTGTGTTTTATTTACTAACCAGGCATGTTTTGTGTGCAGTTTTTATTTTCTAATCATCCAGGGCTTATTAATGCTGTGCCAGCGCTGTTCTTTCCTTTTAAACATGCATGCAAATTACCGGTAATAACGTGTCAGTTCTGTTTTTATTTTATAACCATCCAGAAATATGAATGCTATCAGTGCTGTTTTCTTTTCTAAACTTGCAGGCACGTTCACCCGTGTTTAAAATTAATTTTGTTGAATTAAAACAACGAAAAACATCCGTGTAGCGTCTTTCTGTCTAATTATCTTATGTTATGGCCATACATGCGCTGTGTGCCGGAGACCTGCATGTGGCTGCTGCACTGCGGCTTGTATTTGAGTGCGGCGAGTGTGTGTGTAGAAAACCTTTTTTTTATTGATGTGGCTTATATTGAGGTGCGCTCTATAGTCCAGAAATTACAGTATGTGCTTTCTACACAATCAATTGTTTTAACACAAGGGTCTCTTTTAAAGTCATTACATGCTTTACTTCTTATGGTCTTACGACTCACTCACAGTGATGCAGGGGACTGTTCTGTTCTGGTCCTGCTGGACCTGACTGCAGTCTTTGATACTGTTGACCATCACCTGCTACTGGAGAGGCTGAGAGACTGGGTAGGTCTATCAGGAACTGCTCTGGAGTGGTTCTCTTATCTTTCTGAGCGCTCCTTTTCTGTGGCTGTCTCAAGTTTAGGTCCTCCACCACCTCTCTTACCCATGGTGTCCCACAAGGTTCTGTGCTAGGGCCTCTGCTCTTCCTCCTCTATCTGCTTCCTCTTCAGCACATCCTGAGCTCCTTCAAAGAAATCTACCATTTTTATGCAGATGACATCCAACTGTACATCTCCTTTAAGCCCCATGAGATGTCTAAGCTGCAGCTGTTACACACCTGCTTAGACTCTATCAAAACCTGGATGGCTGGGAGATTTCTTCAGCTGAATGAAGATAAGACTGAGATCTCCATCTGTGCCCCAGAAAAGCTGTTTCCCAAAGTCGGAGACTCTCTTGGTCAGCTTGCTTCTCCCACCAAACCTTCTGTCAGGAATCTTGGTGTGACCTTTGACCCAGTTCTCACTCTGGATTCTCATGTCAGTTCTCTTGTTCGCTCTTCCTTCTTCCATCTCCGGAACATTGCTAAGCTAAGTCCCATTCTGTCCCACTCTGAACTTGAGACTGTTCTCCACACCTTCATCTCCTCACGCTTAGACTACTGTAACTCTCTTTTCACGTGTCTGAGCAGAACCTCCCTGAACCGTCTACAGGTGGTTCAGAATGCCTGTGCTCGGCTTGTGACCAAGTCCTCCAAATACACCCACATCACCCTGCTTCTCCTCCAGCTTCACTGGCTGCCAGTCAACTTCAGGGTTCATTTCAAGATCCTGGTTCTGGTCTATAGGGCCTTACATGGACAAGCACCATCCTACATTGGTGATCTTCTTAATCCCTACACCCCCAGCAGGTCCCTGAGGTCCAGTGATCAAAGCCTACTGGTTGTGCAGCGCACCAGGCTAAAGACCAAAGGTGACAGATCATTTGCTGCTGTGGCCCCCAGACTCTGGAACTCTCTCCCCCTGAGTCTGAGATCAGTGGACTCAGTGGTCTCCTTTAAAAAGCAGCTGAAGACTCACTTGTTCAGGCTGGCTTTTGCATGACTTTCATCACCCTCTCCTTGTTCTGCTCTCCCCACCTATTCCACCTTCCTCAGGATCCACTGATTTCCCTCTTTCCTGTTCACACTCTCTCTTTCTTAACATTTTTTATCACAATTGTCTATTTTTCGCTCATTTCAAATATATTTTTAAACATTTTCTAAATTATCTTTTATATTTTTACATTTTTTGCTTTTGTGAAGCGCCTCGTGATTTTTTTCTTGAGAGGCGCTATAGAAATGAAACTTTCTTCTTCTTCTTCTTATTCACTCAACAGCTTCAGCTCCATGTGCAAACATCTGTTCTCTTGTTTAAATGAAATGGGGTCAGTAAGGAGCAACTACATGCTAACAAACCCCTTTGAGTCTAATAACGCTGTTGGGTAATAAAATCATTACTTTGCATCACATAATGCATCTAATAATCATCACTACCTTCTCCTTCTTCAGCTTTTTCTACCAATTTCGCCTTTCCTGGGATCCACTGATTACCTCTTTCTTTTTCATTTCTCTTTCCATTTCCTCTCATTTTTATCACACATTTTTTTCTCATTTTACTGTAGTTTAATCTTTAAAAAAATTTTGATTTATAATTTATTCATTTGTGTTCTTGTGAAGCACTGTAACGATCTATATAAAATATTGTTTCTTCTTCTAAAAACCTTAAAATCCATATTCATTAAACCCAATTACAAGGTTTTGTTTTTAATGATCTGTCTTTTTTTTTTTTTTTTTTTTACCGTGTCCTGTCTGGCTGTGAAGCAAGCATAATTGATGTCTGAATGCTGGTGACAAGCCTTACAGATTTATTCTCAGGTGGAGCATCAAAGCGTTTGCTTTTAATGTCACACCTGATACTTAAAACTTTATTGTTATTGTTGTTGAATGCTTTGTAATTCCGACCAGACACGGAGACAGAGGTGAAAGAGAAAGGAAAAGAAAAGGTGGGGAGGGGGGGGGGGGGTCCACAAAAATAAACAATAATGAACAAGAGTCTGCTTCTAGACCTGCAGAAAAAGACAAAAAAAAAACAAAAGGACACAAAAAAAGGGACACAACAACAATACAACAAGATCTACCTATCACTGTGTCAGCTTGATGAAAAAAAAAATATATATATATATATAATCAACATTGCTTAACTGAAGAATCACGATAATAAATCACAATGCATTAAGTGCCCACCATAGTCTTAAGACCTGTGTTTATCGTGCCCAAGCCCATACTTTTGAGAGCACCATGTGAGCACCTGTGTGTGTACACGCGCTTGTTTATTTAAGGTTTCTCTATAGGAGCGTCCAACAGAGAGTGTGAGGGACCACAGATCCGCCCCCCAAAGATGCGCAGGAGACGGGGGGAGCTCCAAGTCCCAGAGATTCAGGCGCTGCCCCAGAACACAGGAACCCCAAGGAGACTGCAACCAGGAAGGCACCCCCCCCCCCCCCGAGAGGCACAGAAGATCGCCCCGGGGGGCCACAACCAGCAGCCGGCAGAGTCCCTGGAGATATCAGCGGCAAGTCCACAGGCCCACCCGCAGCCTCCCACCCCCTAGCCGGCCGAGCCCGGGACCCAGCGACCCGGGACCCAGGGGCGACCACCCCCGCCGGGGACCCAGCAAAGCCCAGGGACCCAGACCCCACCAGGCAGCCACCGGGATCTATCAGGCAGATGCCAAAATCTTAAACCCCCAGACCCGGTTGCCACGAACGCTCAGGCAGACCAAGGCACAAGCCCCCACACCAGGTGTGGCAGGGGGAGGGGGGACAAAGATCTATATCATCAAGAGAAGTTCCAGGAGAGGGGAGGAGTCAAAGGCCCCACCTGACATATACAGTCATACACAAACACAGTCACACGCTCCCTCCCTCATGTTCACACATACACATACAACCCAAGACTTACAAAAATGCACGCCGGACACCCACTCATGCTCCCCATACACACCCTATTCACTCTGGTCCCGGTACTGCTGCACATTGGGTACAACCATCACCGGTAACCAGAGTTTGACCCTTTCTGCTGGGGTGCTGATGAGCAGGCTCCCCCGCCCAACGCTGAGCACAGCAACCCACCACCCCAGACCCCAACCAGACGGCCAGATCTCCCTCCTAGCCTCCAGCCCCAGGAAGCCTAGCAACAACAGAGGTGGCTAAGACCCCTAGTCTCCCTCCGCCTGCTCCAATATAGTGTTGTGTGATCATGAGGTGTATTCCATGGCTGTGGTGAGTGGGCAGTGCGGGCATCATCCGGCATATGCCAGCTGATGCCACCGCACCACCCCACTTACACCCTCAGCCATCAGTGTCTAAGTGCGGTTTAAAATTGGAAGTGGGCACCGGCACTCGGGAGGAGGCTGAAATAACCCCTGCCAAATGCCGTTGAATGTACTCACTCCCAAGGCCCTAAGTGTGTGTTTGTGTGGAATGTCGTCAGTGGAAGTGTATAAGGTGCAAATAAAATTGGGGGGCAGGTTGCCACAGGAATGCGGAAATGGGGTCCATACCCACACTCCCTGACTTGCCCACCCCCCAAGGTCCTATGTGTATGTTTGTGTGATGATGTGAGGGAGCAGGAGGAGAGAAATATGCGGGGATGGGGAGGAATGGCTGGTTGCTCCAGGGAGCCAGCTCCCCTACTGGCTTCAATAGGCACCTCTGTTGTCAAACTGCCACCCAGGGCATGGAGACCCCAGCCCATCCTGCCAGGGCCCAAAGCAGCGGCATTACAGAGCCTCACGGAGTCCGAGGGCACCAACCCAGCCCCATCCCAGCAGAATATCTATGCCCACCCCTGCATTTGCACAACTTCCAGAATATATAAGACATGGGACATCCGGGTAAGGTTGGGTCCTCCCCCTCCTGGACCTCCCCCTCCCCTGTGATGGAACGGCAGAGGAGCCTAGGTCTACCTGAGGCCCCCGAACCCGGGCCAGGCACTGCTGCGTGTCCCTGCCTTCTTCCCGGCAGCATACATGTCAGGACCCGACCCCCAAGGCCCCGCCCAGATCCCCACACGGGGCCGGCCACCCCCAAACCCCGAGCCCCCAGGCCCCCACCCAGACCCGCCCAGGGGCATTGCAGCTGCTAGGCAGTGACCCATGGCCGCCGCCAAGATCCCCAAGGGGCCCCACTCACAACCGCCAGTAGTCCATCCCCCGAGGCAACCCAAGCACCTCCAGAGGGGGGCAACTCCCAATGTGATCTGTCATTTCTAAATAGCAGTTCCAATGTCATAAATATTTCCCTTTTCTTGTTTTGTATTTTATTATCACGTAATAAATATGTAAATAATAAAGTACATAGACATTTCATAGATCAGACTTACTTATGAGCTTGTCTTCGATCTCATTTCCTGTTGGCAGAAGGTTGGACTGGGTGGGCTCCAGCAGCAGACTGATGATTTGATTTGTTTTCTTGATTTTTGTCAGCGTGACCTTGGCAATGGGTGGTAAGTGTTTCAGGCGAGGATAGAAAAAGGAGTTGGCAGGGTGACTAGGGAAGGAGGAGGTGATCTGTGGAAATATAAATGGAAAAAGTTAAAGCAGTTAGAGATGATGTGTCGATCAATAAGTTGTTTTTTTTCTAATTATTTAACTTGGTGATAACCTCCTCTGCTCCCTGGGATAGAATTGAACTAGAAATAATTCAAAAATGTATGTTTAGAACTAAATAAATTATCAGGTAAATTATCATTTAATTGTTCCTTTTACAGTTTTAGAAAAGATAATCAAAACATTTACAGGCTGTACTTTTCCCCCCAGCCAATGATTTAGTAGAAACTCTAAAACACATTTTGTGACCACAGTTTGAACTCCTGTCTGGCTCTGGTGGCTTGTGGTTTTCACTTTTGATTGATGCATTGTTGCTCTTGGCCCACCTGTGAGACTCTGTCCTGTGGGATAGTTTCAAAGTTGGGGGAAGAGAAGGTGAACCCGCTGTCAGTTCCTGCATCATATGGAAAAAGCTCCAGTATCACTTTGTCTTTCCAGCGGTCACCATCACACAGGTCAACACTGTCCACACCCACAAACCAGTCAGGACTTGGAACGATCCGTACGATAAAGGACAGCTGCAGATGGAAGTAAAACAAGGAGGGAGAAGGGGGTTGAGAGAAAAATACGAAAGTGAGTCAGAGATAAACAGAAAGAGGAGGATATAAAATAGTCTTCTTTAGTTATATAAAAGAATTAATTGTAGAATTTGATTGTACTTTAAAGTGCTTTAGAGTCTCTGGAAAAAAATAAAACATCCTTGTCAAGACATTCATCCCCAAAATGTGTTACCATTCACTCATAAACATGTTCCTTCATCAGTCTGTTCTTCAAATACAGCCCACCAAGAAAAATGTTGAAAAAGAGCAGAAATAAGAGCTAAGAGTAGGTTATTTTGAAGATACACGCTGGTGAAGAAGTGAGACACTCCTGCAACACCTGAATTCAGGATTATGGATAAATCAGATGGGCCTTGAAATGTAGGTATTATGCAGTCACATAACCTCATTTCCAAACTGCCCAGTTTCTTGAGCAATCATCCTATGTGATATTGTGTGATACTGTCTTTTCTATGTTATTACCTTCTTTAAACATGTTTAAGTATAAACACAGAGGACAACCTCTGACTCACATCACGGAAAACCAGTGAAGAGCACTTTTCATAGGGAAAATAAGAGTTTGGAGCCGTTTTTATTGAAGCATTTGGTGTTTTGCCCTGTCCACATGATGCGATGTGTTTTTCCAAAATGTGCTGTAAATTGTGTACGGTTAGTGATAACATTAAAAAGAAGAAGAAGTCTTTTCTATAGCGCCTCTCAAGATGTAAATGTGTTTATTTGTATTAAAAGACTAGTAGGTTAGGTTTGTAATTTAAAATTGTTAGGTCTATGGGTTTGAACATCCTGGTCTCAGTTATGGAGCTATTTCTGTCTTTGCATTCTGGAAACAACAAACACTCAATATCGGGAACAAAAGTGTAATTGAAAATGACCTCACAGCAGTGTTTTCAAGGCCAAACCTCTCACCACAATCTTATTTAAAATACATGTGAAATCCTTTGCTCAACATTGGACAACAGTTAGAAAGTGACGGGCTCTGTATCTCATTACACAATCTTCAGATGCTAATTTCCTCTATTTGTTTAATATTTTTCCTTCCGAATGCATATTTCTGTTCAGATGGGGAACCTCTTTGATCTATGTGACATTAAGGTCGCACATTTTAAGTTTAAAACAAAGGTTATCATCAAAGAGAACAAAGCAATAATGTAAGACAATGTGTTTTGTAATAAAAGGTATAATAGTCATGATCTAGGAAGAGAGGATCACACTATTTTGCTGTAACTGATAGTAGAGAGGGTTTTCTTTGGCTCCTTGACGAGACTGAAGGAAGCCAGTGGTTGATTGACTTACATACGAGTGTCTGGCAAAGACCTCAAACTCAGTGTTCATATGGCCCGTGCCTCCCACAGCAGCAGGAGCAGAGAAGATCCCATAAACGCTCTGGATGCGTTCGCCGGCCGTCTCCACTTCCTTCACGAGTGTCCAGGCCTCGCCTTTTTCCGCAAACTCCCTTACTCCATTGCTGGCAAATTCATTACTCTGCCACATGTGGTAGTCGAAGCTGTGGGTCACCCCTTGTAGAAGAGAGAGAGGCTTGACATTATCGGTGTATCGGTGTTTAGTCTGCAACATTCAGGTCATACACATCTGTTTGGAATTACGAATATTTAATTATTTGAAGTTCAAAACAATTACAGATATTTTTTCCCAGCCAAAGGGACAAGATAAAGAATAATTTCCATTCTTGATCTTGTTTGATGACCGATTTATTAAATTTTTGTCCTGCCTTTGCCTGGATTTAGTCATCATATTTGCAGATTTAACATATTTTGAAATAAAGGGTTTATGCTTTCCCCTCAGTCATCTGAATACATAAATATATACAAATGTAAACAATAAGTCAGCTGTTAGCTTTGGGCGATTTACCAATGAGTTTGGACCACTGGGCAGGTGGACGGTAGACAGGATACTGCTTAGGAAATGCTGCTTGAGTCCATTTTCCAGTAAACGTTAGGCTGTAGTGGGCTGTCTCAGACGCTGTGCACATAGGGACATCAGTGGGCACTGGCATCGAATGAATGCCTCTACTGATTGTCAACATCAACGCAAGTAGGTGACATACGGCCTCAGAGAAGGAACGAGTGTTCGTTGTGTCCATGACTGAGTCAGATATGTGGAGGATGGGAAAGTCTGAAGGTGAGAACAAAGGGCAAAAATGAATCGTTAATCTGATTGGATCAGCTGAAAGTAAGTTGTGGCATTGCTCTTTTACTCTTTCTGTCATGCTTTCTTGACTTTCAGGTTTCACAGTTTCTGCTTGTTTTTGTTGGAGTTTGCATAATTGGACATTAATAAAATGTGAAAATGTTGAAAGTAGGCATGGCCCTGACTGGAAATAATAATCAGAGTGTAATCATTTGAATAGTATTAATGAGGGCCACAGACCATTTTTGTGTTTGTTGGTCTCCTCCCTCAGCGGCTGAGCTGTTAATTGCAAGCATGTACAACGAAGACTAAAGCACCACTTCAACTTTTTTTCATGAAATGACTGTTTTGGTGTGAATTTGCTACACACTTGATAAAATATAGCTGAGTTTTTTAGGTTTGGTTTAGAATACGAATACCTATGTACTCTTGCTGTCAGATCCCAGACATGACGAGGCTGCCCAGAGAAATGGAAAAGGCAGGAATGTCTGGCTGCACCTTAAGTGTTGGTTTTAAGTGGGGCATGTGAGTCAGTGTAGATTTTTTTCCCCTGGAAACATTTCCACCATTTTTCTTGGCTAGCAAAGTGTTTTAAGCAATAAAAAGAGGACATTTGGCATTTATCAAAATACATATTGCCTTTATTTGTAAGCACCAACATTCACTTTAAAATATATAGATCCTGTAAGGAAATGTCTGTAATTTGAATTTGAATCGACTTTTGTTTTGGAATCCACAAAAAGTTGATCATTGTTGCTCCTCTTTAGACATTCATCTATTACATCCTGCTTCTATTACAAAAACAATTCCACCTGGCTTTAAAAACTATACAAGCTTTTCATGCAGGCCTGATGTCCTCAATCATGTCACTTTATTGTGCATCAGTCCAGAACAACACGCATAGCCAAACTTCAGTCACATTTAGAAATAGGTGTGGGTCTTACTCACTGGTTTAGGTCAGGGTTCCAGATGAATATAGATTTGCAGCAGATGGGTGGAGAAGGAGGGCTGGAGGTGAGGAGAGGGGAAGAGGAGAGCAGTGGATGTGGCTGTCGGGATAAGTGACTGCAACAGTCCAAATCCTCCTTTGCCTATTTATGACTTTTAGGAGGTCCACACCCACCCCACACACCCTGTTCTCATCGCTCAACTCCTCCCTCCACCTCATACCTAATTCTCCTCTTCAGCTTGACCCACTCTTTCTCCCAGCATTGCTATCTTCTCAACTCCCTTGCCCCCTTCATGCCCCCTGACTCTAGTTCTCCCTACTGGATACAGCTACCTTTACTCTTTATAATTGGTCCTTTAACCCTCTGGAGGCAGGTGTTGCAGATTTGCAACGTTAAAACCTACCTACCTACCTACCTGGTTACTCCACTCCACATACGTATTTCATGAGCATTTTTTTTAACTCAGAAGTACTCCTGAAGGACTTAGTTGTTCGTCTTTTTATTAAAACTTATTGTGAGCCTGAGAGGGTTAAAAGATTAATGGCTTCTGCAGCTGGAGATGCACAGCCAGGGGCGCGGTGCAGCTCTGTGGGTAGAGTGTCATTCACAGTATGATACTGGAGGTCTCAGTATGAACATACATGTCTAATGAGGCTACTAATGTATTTTCAGAAATCTGTATAAAGTCGTTGCCAGGTTTTTTCAATTTAAGTGAAGCTACCAGATGCCGTCTCAGTGCTGCTTTTAAACTTATGTGGCAAGTCTTTTTATCTACAGAAATCATGGTGCAATAAAGCACCATGCAGCAAGTTTGGATTTCTGTGGATATCTGTCATTATTTTCCAACTTAGAAGGCATTTACTCTTTCTTTTGCCATCAGTGGACAAACTATCCAGAAGATTGGATGTTTCTCTGACAGAAATCACAAGTTTGCTTCACTTTTCAGTTCTTAAAGAGGTTTATGAATGAAAGACGTGAAGATTTTGGCGTGACTTTGTGTGAATGTGCGGGCGGAGGCCAAGGTTGTGGTGTTTGATTTACGGAAGCTGGAGGTGACAAACCCACACACTCTCGTGCAAACGCAAATATGCCAGCATGCTGAATCAGCCCACACCTAATGATATCCATATGGTCACATTTCCTACAAAAACAAACTATAACACCTACTTACACACAGACACATACACACACACACTCAGACCACTTGCCCTCAACAGAACTCTCTCAATTTCCAGCATTAATTGCTTGAATTGCAGAGTCTAGTCTCTTTGGAGTCTGACATTTGAAAAAGGAAAGTAACTCATCACCACCATCTGAATTCATGCAAACTGAACACTGGTGTACTGTATTCTGTTTTATTGGGGATAATAAATCAGTGAGGCAGCTGTGGGACACACATTTTGCTACTAACTTTGTAAAGTGCATACACATACAGCAGGATGCATGTGTTAACACATTGTGTTACTCCTCTAGACTAGACTGTGTGGCAAACTGCCAGATTCTCATTTAGTGATTCCCAATGGACACATATGTCCTACAGGGACCAATAAAAGATTAAAGATGACTAGGAGTAGGCATTTACACATAAAATAATGGGTTTTGTGTGAGTATGTGCATGATTCAGTGTTCACCTGTTAGCATTTCACACTCACATCGGGTGTTTATTAGCATTACTAAAAAGCATAATTATTCTTTTAGGAACCCTTTAGCTACCACACCAATAGAAAAGCAAATAAAAACAAAATGTTTTGCTTTTTTTGAAAATTATTTAGATCAACAAAAGAAAAATTAATTACAAAGAACATTAATACAGTAATAATCATGCATGATATTAATGTTTAGCTTCATTTTCAAGTAGACATGTATAATATCTTATTTTAGTTGAGTAGATTTTTTTAAGTTAAGTTCAATGCATGCTTTTAATAATCCTAATCCTAATAACAAGGAATTAATTGTGCGGTTGACCTTCCAGTGAAAAAAATTAAAAAGTTCATGGTTTGTTCAAAAATTTAATGAATTATAAGAATATTCCAGAACTTTTCTAAAATCCTCCTAAAATAGAATAGTTTTTATCGTCGTTATACCCGAAGGCCCAATGAAATTGAGCCACAGAGGATGTAGCAAACCTTGATTATCTTCTTTGAAACTTTCTTCATCAAAGTAACATTCCATTTATTCATACACTTTATTCACAAAATGTATGAAGCTACATGTGGTTCAGAGTCTTTCTCAAAGACACTTTCAAGATGGAAAAGCTGGTATAGAACCACTAACCTTAAGATTAACAACATGATTAACGATCTACTCTTGGATTGCGCCTTTCTGAGTCAGACTCCAAAGCGCTTCACACTACAGTGAATCATTCATCCATTCACACACTGTGGTGGTGAGGAGCTACATTGTAGCCACAGCTGCCCTGGGGCTCACTGACAGAGGTGTGGCTGCTATAAAAGTTGCCACCAGGGTGAAGTGTCTTGCCCACTGACACGACTGACATGACTGTGGGAGCCTGGGTTTGAATCTGAAACCATATGACTACAGGTCAAACTCCTAACCCCTGAGCAACCATCAACATAACTGATTGCTCTGCTCACTGAGCTACAGCTGTCTCATTTTATATTGACTTCACTCAATCAACAACCTCAGTGTATTTAGAAAAATCAAACAATACTAAATAACTTCATGCCGGCAACACATTAATAAAACATCAGGAGACAACAAAAGAAAGACAAAAGTTCATAGCATGTTCAAGTAACATGAAACTACAAAATTATACCACCAAGATTTAAATGGGTAGCAGGTGGGAATGTCTGAGTTTTATGCAGTGGTTGAGTCCACCAAAGGCTTTCCAAGAAAACTTGGGTGGTGACTCACCACTTAGTCCCAAATACAGAGAATCATTAAATTACACAGAACTCAAACCTGTTGACATCTATAGAGCAAATGAAAGTCACCAGATCCCAGCCAAGGCCAGAAACCACTGGTGGAGGTATAAATAAGTTAGACCCCTGACGGCACAGTGGAATAAACTGTCATAGATCCATATCAAGAGCCACATGAGCTTGTGAGCATTTAGGAAAACCATTGTCATTCAACACAGTCTACCACTACCTTAAGAAATTGAACTTTAAACTATACAAAGAGACATTTCAAATTAGTTTAGAAATGCAGCTGAGCTCTTGGGTTAAATCTCAGATAGACAGAAAGTCAATATTCTCATATGATTAACTGGTGAGGTTAATTAATGACCATGTCTTGGTTTAATTATTTAATTGAAGATATTGAAATTCTAAAGAAGCCCATTTTGTTTAAGAGAGGGATATAAACACTGATCTTATTTCGTATTTCTTTATCAAGAAAATAAACAATATTTTACTGTTTGAAAGGGAACTTGAAATCTATAAGGAAAGAAAATTCAAAGAGTTGTTGGCCAGAAAACATCTCATGTTCCCTGGGTAAAAAAAAACAAGTCTGACATGTCTGCCCCAATGTGGGGGATGCGGGCACTTACTGTGGGAAGGAGGTGGGAATGATGTTGGTATTTTCTATAGTTAAGACTTAATGCAATCCTGCGTCTGGCTATCAGAGAAACCCTCTCATGTGTTTGAGCAGTTGATGTCAAGTATGACTCAATTGTCTATCTCTCTCACTTGACATTTATTTGAAATTATGATTGCACTTACTTTTATATTTTACCATATTTATCCTAGCCATATGCTTAAAGCTCTATAAAAACATTTATTGCCTTACAGTAATTAAAAAACGAACTGAGTTTACTATTGGGTAACCCCTAAATAATCCTTGCTGTTGAATGGAATGGATTATAATTTAGTTTAGGTAATATTTAAATAAACAAAAATGAATAAGTTTGAGCTATTGATCTGACTGCTTTATGTTTGCTAAAGTCATTTTGGCAGGTGTAGCACTCACCTCTGGCTGCTCTTGAAAGCCTTTTCAACCCATCTGAAAAAGGTTTAGTCTTATAATGAGAAGCAAACTTTTATTGTTCAGAAATATAATCTTAAACAGATTAAT